TAATTAAAACATGAAGATGCTTTCAGCTGCCGGAGAGAATGAAGTATGGAAGTTAAAGCAGCGCGCCAAGGGTGCATGCTATGACTGGCTGCTAATGAAACAGGACGAACTTTGTCTCGAGCAGAACAACGGACGAAGTGCTGTCATTAAAAACATGTAAAATATTCGTAATGTGATGTAAGGAAACATTAAAAAAAAGGGGCAGAGTGTATGTGACATGCAGAAAATAGAGTGGGCTAGCGGGTAAAGCGGGAGGTGGCAAATAACAAGTCACAGGAAGGTGAAGTTGGTGCGCGACGCATTTTTGACATGGCAGTGATGTGTTTGTCACAGTAGTACCCACCTAAAGGGTATGTGAGCGTGTGAAGAGCTTAAAGCGCGCGCTTACAAAGGACATTACGACGCGGCACAAGTAAAGAGATGAAAGCAGGAGGAGGTAAGACGAACGAAGCACTGAACGACAATGTGAAGTGACAGGCGAAGTATTTGAGGTGACTGTGTGACTGACTAACAGACTGGCAGGCAGGCGGACGGACGGACAAACAGGACAAGCAACTGACAGTGAAGCTAAGTAGACAAGAGCGCTATGAGACAGAAGAACAAAATGTATAAGCATGAGAAGAAATCGGTGTAAAGGCAACGCGCTAACGGTGTAGGAGTCGAACAAAGTGAAGAAGAGGAGTGCAGGTGAAATAATATTTGTGGCCAACAAAACTGTGCGAAGTAACGTATCTATTAAAAATGTATTAAGCGAGTTGCAGGGAAATGAGAGTCGTGGCGATATGGCTTGTGAGCCGAACAACGCCGGTGTTTGTCGCGCAACGAAAGTGGCAAAGTGGCGGTCGGGTTGGAATGTAGCGATTAAGTGCACGCAATATTGGCAGTAAGTGTACGCGACAAGCGGCAAAACTGGAGGCGACATGACCTCTGAAGCACCGGCTCAAGCGAGCTGCCGGAAAAGAGTTGGGGTGGAGCGGTGTTTACAAAAGGATGCACGAGTAGGAAGCCAGCTTGTAAAGCGTTGTGAAAAAAGTCAACAGACGGTAAACACGAGTAGGGGTGTAGCAAAAAAAAAAGGGGTCTGAGTTTAGTGGGCGGTATGTTGATTGCAGTAATGACGAGAGCGTTGAATAAAAGGTGAAAATGGCGCACTTCCTACCTACCCACAACACAAAAAGCGTCGGCTTGTCTCGTGCCGCGTCGTTTGTTGGGCAAATATGATTGCGTGAGCGGTGGGGCAGAAAACCGACAACTACTTGCTGGTGTAGCGAATCGTAAGTAGCCACACTGGGTAAGTAGGAGCTGAGATGGATGTCTGTAGCGGAGCTGGAGAGAAGAAAACACACACACTATTCGGTATGTATTAATATTTAAGAGGAAAACGGCAGTTTCCACACATGTAAAGCGCGGCGAAGCCAACGCTGCCAACTAAAACAAGAAACATGGGTAAGAGATTGTATAAAATCAAGTGTGTACTAATGTTGCGGTACTTATTTCTTACACACACAAACGTTTGGGGACGTCTCCAGTTTTTCTTGTGCGCCATTAACGGCAGTTAGGTCTAAAAAAAATTTTCGCTGGCAACATCCTCTATATACCGAGCTTTTGGTGGAGGCGCAAATGCTGAAAAATTGTAGCAGGTTTAAGCGAAGCCTTACAAAGCAAACGTGGAAAAAACAAATACGGCAGCAGTCTTAGTCGCTGGGGAAACTGGTCCAGCCACATATGCGTCAAAGCGGCTATGCGACAAGCCAAGCGACAGCAATGGTCTAAGCAGGGCCTTAAAAAGAAAACATCACCAAAGAAAAAAAAAAAAAAAAAAAAAAAAAAAAAAAAAAAAAAAAAAAAAAAAAAAAAAAAAAAAAAAAAAGAACTAACAAAAAGTGAAAAAATCACAAAAAATTTTATAAAAAATTATATAAAACGAAAACAACAAAAAGAGAAAGACAAAACACACACATGTGGAAATTTGCAGCTTTCAATTAGGAATGGGCTTAGGCGACGGCTATCATGCATGCAGGCAATGCCATCTCACAATTCTACAAAGGCACGAAGATGACAGGTGAAAAGAGGCCTACACAAAGTCGCCAAGCATTTGTAGTGGTGTTATTTCCTCGCAGAGAAACGAAATTGAAGTGCGGTGTGGGATTCGAAACAATTTCAGAAATAATAATGCGACAAAATAACAGACAATACGGAACGTTCAGTCCCTGTGGTGTCGCTGGAATTTGATTGTGTTTGAACAAGCAAACGAAATGAAAAAGTTAATAACACAACAAACGCAGCAAAAATAAATAGAGAAAAAAAAATTAAGTTATGCATTAAAAACAGGCGAAAAATATAAGCCACATTGAAAATCGAATAAGCCGTGCGGCAATAACTAAATTAATTAAATTATAGAAACAAATAAAAAAAAATTAATGTGCATATATCAGCAAATTTCTAGTTTAATATCTTAATAGAATAATTTCATGTAGATGTATGTATGCGTGTGTCCGAAAATATGAAATTCTATAGATGGCGCTGAAGTTAAATTATTGCGAAAAATCAGATTTGTAAACCACTTTCGAAATATACCGTCAAACCCTTAATTCTCGTAAGAATTATTGAGTTAAATATAATAATGGAAACCCCACAATTAGTTTAAGCCTCGAAACAACACAAAATAAAAAGCTTAAATGAAAACTCAAAATAAAACGAGGGTGAAAATATGAACGAATAAAAGTGACACACAAGTAAATCACGTATAACCCGACGACACCCTTAAAACAATGAAAACAAGCGCGCCCCTAACATGAAAAAATAGAACAGAAACAGCAACAAAAATGTTGCTGTCAACACCGAAATAGTCCAGCGTCAGGTGTAAAAAAGGAGAAACCGCCAGCTAGCGCGCTAATGACGTTGACAGCAAACAACAAAAATAAATGTGTGCAAATGAATAACTAAACAACATCAACAATAACAACAGTGACAATATATGTACGCTGGCAAGCGCTGACAACATTTGGCAATTACAGTTACAAGCGCATTTTTCGTACCCCCCAAATAGCTAATGTTGTTGTTTTAGCTGTATATCGCTGTTGTTGCTGTTGGCTTTAATATGTATGTTAAATCATGTTTGACACGCCGTATAAGCGTCGCGTCTGCGCCACTGCGGCACTGCGTCGGGTGTGGACTGGGTCACTAAAACATCGTTTTTATTGGTCATTAAAATGATAATTTAAATTTTTTAATTTATTTTTTGCGCATCGTAAAAAATCCAGTAGCTAGCCGGCGTTGGCAGTTAGCTACAAACAAACGTATTTGTATACATTGATATTTGCTTGTAATATACATACAGCTGTGATATTTGCTTTTAAGCGCTATTTTATATGATTTATCCCATTTTGTTTTATTCATTTATGGTGCTGAGGAATTCCAGGGCATAGAGTAAGCGAATATTTAAAATAGATTTATGTCTGCTGTTTATTAGGTCAGTGCGTTGAGTTGGGAGATGCGACAAAAAAAAAAAAAGAATTAAAACAAAAAAAATATTTCAGTTTATTTCTATGAATGAACAGCTTCCTGTGGACATAAGGATGTGTGCAAAATTTCAGACCGATACCTCAAAAACTGAGGGACAAGCTCGCGTATATACAGACGGAGATGGCTACATCGACTCAGTTCTTAGCGTCTCTATTAACCAATTTCATAGTAATTTTCGTCAAGGCAATCACAACCCACCCACCACTTCATAGCGCGCATCAACACCTGCAACTTGTATGCCTTCAAGTCCTACAGAAAACTACAAAATAACAGTAAACGTTGCAAAGCAACTAGCGTACTGACCGAAATACTAATGCTACTGTCATTTGTTTGCGCGTAATTAACAGCCGTAATGTGCTGCCACTCTTAGCCAAACAACTGTAAATGAGAGCACAACACTGTAATTGCATGGAAAACTTAGAGTCGAAATTGAGTTTTGCGCTATTAATGCATTTTCTCATTATAATTACATGGACAAATTGTTTTCAAAGGAAATGCACATTAATAAAAAAAAAAGAGAACGAGCATTTTTTACTGCTTTTAAATTTCAATTACTATCAAAAATATGCTCGCGTCGGTAAAAAAAATGTTGTTAAAGCAAAATTTAATTATTCTTTAGCTCTTCGTTATTTTATTGCTTGCCGAACCCAGTTGCCAGCAAATCATTCAAATGAAGCTTGTGGGCAATGACGGTTGACTTTAGAAACTGAGAAGCGTCAACGGAAATATTATATTACATTATTACGATTCAGAAAGTTTTAAGGATCCCGAGTCATTAATTGCAATTCCCGAAATGTTGGGATAACTTTTTTTGTTAAACCTTCACTTTTTATAGCTTAACAATTTTACCATTGTTTACCAAATTTTCGGGATCCCGTGTCAATAATTGCAAATTCTGAAACTTCGGTATACGTTTAGATCAATATTTAGAAAACAACTTGTTATTTTTGTTACTATGCAGAAAATTTTCAGGATCCCGTGCTATTAATTGCAAATTCCGAAATTTCGAATTTTTTTTGTCAAATCTATTAAAAATGCTTTATTATCTGGATTATTATTTAGAAAATTTTCGGGATACCGATGCACTAATAGCAAATCTCGACATTTCGGGATCAATTTTCTTGTCAAATCGTTTGGAAATGCTTTATTATTTTCATTAATATTCAGAAAACCTTATAGAAACAAATAATTCGTAGCCCCCACTATCGTACCGGCTTTGGATATCCATAAACAAATATTTTTTACTATTTTCTCAACGTTATTGATTGACTATTTTTTTACGTCATTGAAATGCAAATGCAAAATTAGCTAAAACAAATTGGCGCCATCACGGACAGTTAGAACATAAAAAATTACAGTAGCAATTTTATTCTGTAAAAACTGTTTTTATCCCTAATTAAAATATTTGTGACGTTTTTACAAGATAAATAACTTAATGTAGTAGAATAATAATTTTTATAAATTGTGGTACTTACGAAAATATTCCAAACGAACTTTGGAAGTCGCATAAATTTCCTATTCTGATGGCTAAATCGAGAGCTGCAATGAAAGAGAGAAGAGAGTAAAAATTAATTAATTTTACAATTAAATTTGCAAAACTATGACGAGCAAAGAAAAAAGCAAATAGATGTATGTATGTTAATAAATAATAATAAAATAGACGAAAACGCAATTGAAGTGAGGCATTACAGAGTAAACTTTTCTGCGAAAAATGTTCAAGAGCGAAATTCTTAAACTTGCAACGAGCGGAAGCGGAGGGGAACATTCCCTAAACTTGATGTCGCAAAAGTATTAGACTTCGATGCTTAGTCCAAAGAACAGGTGGCAACCATTTCTTATAACTGTAATCATTATAAGCAACTTTAGGCGCTTGCAGCTGGCACATGAAATGCAGGGAAAAGGGAAATTAAACTTTTCATGTCTCACAGCAAAAAGGAAAGAAGCAAAGAAAGTAACAGAACACTAACTCTTCGACAAGTTCTGCGATAAAGTGCGGTTAGACAAAGTGAGAGATGTGGGTGTATTAACGTTGCCACGGTCGGTTGACTGCTTTGCTTATACGAATTAACGGTGCGTTACTGTTAAACAGCCTACGACAAAGTGTGCGTTCACAAGGGCGCAACTTGAGATGAGTGATAAATAGAGATAACGGCAAATAAAATTGTATATATGAGTGGGTCAAAAAGTTTGTGGAGCAACGTTGATAAAGAAAATAAATAAGTTATGAAAAAGTTTTCATTTAAGGATTCGATTTTGATCCAATGAATTCTAGGGAAACTATAGTGGTCCATTAGCGGTTCTGAGCTAGCTATCGTAGCTTTTTGTGGCGAAAAAGTATATGTAGCGGATGGCGAAAAAGGTCTGCATATTTATATACTGGGTTCCGGGCCACATAAAAATTCCAGGAAACGAAAATACTGAAGTTACTATAAATATATACAATGAAAATTCCGAAAGCACTGACAGCCGGATTAGGACGATATGGAATGCTTTAAGTGCATGCAGGACGCTTATTGGTCTAATGACAGATCACAATCTACTGGCATCACATGTAAGCCGGATGGGAATAAGTAAGGACGATACGTGCAGAAAGTACAGGGAAGTAAACTTGAAAAAAACGCTGGAACACCTACCATGCTTCTGACCAGTATTATCTAGCACCCGGTTTAGATATCTAGGAGCTATGTAGTTTAAGGGACTAAATGAAGTATCACTTTTTGATACCAAGTCGCTTTTAAGGTTCAAATTAAACAGTACCTCCATCTGGCTCCACGCTAAATCAATCTGGGTGGAACAATGTTCCATTCTACAATTCATATTCAATGAATTCAAACGCAATCAAGCGATTACTCAAGTGGCGTTCTTATTTTTGCGATCAGCAATTCCTTTGCAATTTCGCCAACAAAGCGATACGATCAAGGTCAATGACCGTTTCTTCCTCTGCTGCTTGAACAAATTTTGGACGCTCTTCGAAGCTTGAAAATGCGCAAAAATCCCTAATCAACGGACGTTCTTTTGGGACATGTGCGCGTTGAAAGCTTAAGCGTTCATATGGGTACAGAATTAGCAATCGACAAGCACAATAACTACAAGAACAATAAGGCCGAACAGCAATAACATGTGCAGCGAAATCACATCAGCGAGTAACTTGAGCCATTGCAGTTTGCGCTGTGTAAATAATATGCGCACAGCAACAACAACAACAAATCGATACTATATGTACAGCAACAAAACATTTTCAGCCGAGTGAATGCATAAATAAATATGGTAAAAAGCAACAAAAATCAAAGCTTACTTTTGTAAGAACCTCAGCGTGGTAAAAAGTAAACCGGTGTTAGATGCAGGAGTGAACAAAAAAATACAACAAAAACGACGACAAGCACCAACTTTATGCGCAAATAAAGCACATGGCCGAGATTGAATTAGACTGAAACGAGGCGAACGAACGGTAAAGGAACCACGCGCAGGCACATGCAATGCAACACGGCCACGGCTGAGCGGGCGAGAGGCAAGTTGTTGGCTTTCAACGGCGAATTGTCTTGGCATATAACAATTCCATACGCCAAGCGCAGCAGCAAGATGTGTGTTATTTTTGGTGTTGCTGTTGTCGCGCTTAGTTCGTCAGCCTCTCACACGGTTGGACAAGAAAGTGTCGACTTTTCGGTAAGCCGAGAACCGCAACCAAAGCGGTAGTTTGCATGTGAATATGTGTGTGTGTTTGGTCAGTAGCGTTTTTAGCGTTTGCGTTAGGCTCGAGATCATCACTGCTAAACTCAGCGCATCTCGCTGTTGCTGGTATTGGATTTCGAAAACTTGTCAAGAATATCTGTGCTTCGTCAAGCTGCATGTGTGTGTGGACTTGTGTGAGTGTTCGTGGCATTATAAATATTTGTAAAAATTGCATATGAGCACTAATATAATGAAAATGGCGCGATATTTACATATGTATGTGTGTGCGCATCAAATTTCAGGCTACCTTTTGCTATTTCCCCAAAACACCTTCGGCTAGCAATGCGCTTTGCTCTTCAAATGGCAAAGTAAAACAATACTTGTGTAGAGAAATAATGCAAAAATTACAGCATCTTCAAATGTTTTTGTTCTCAAGTGACACAAACGGATCTAAAACAAAAAATTGTGTCTGGCTGCTTTGAAAAATTTTATTTTAAGTCGCATGCAAATTGTTATTTGCATTTTTATTGCGTTTGGCAATGCTCTTGGCTATTAGGATGCTGTACGCGACATGTCTTCTTCAACTTTCTCTAATATTGCTTAGCGATTTTTCAAGTCTTTAAACAAGTTTGAGTCCAAAGATACAAATTTTTATGTATTTAAATATCTATAGACTGAACAGATCTCGAAACAGACCTTGTGGGTATATTTCTGGAAAGTGTCTAACGACCGGCTTTCACCGGGTTCAACTGAAAAATTATTAAAACGTGGATTTCTGCGTCAGAGAGGCCACCCGTGGTTGAATTTACTCTGCTTACATACCGACGAGAGAGATTTAGATGATTAGCAGTCGAGAAAGAAGCGACGTATTGAACTTTTTCATGGATGGGTCAAAGTAATGAGGGAAGACTGAAGAGGGAGTTATCTGTAAGGAGCTTATCGTTAATATTTGCATTAAGTCACGGTAGTCCTTTAGGCAGAAGGCTGCTATTAAGGTGGCAGTAGACGCCAAGTGAAGCTTCTTTCAGTGAGGTGAGTATTCATTTCAACAGCAGAGCAGCAACACCGGCGCTGAGCTAAATGTGTGCTTAAAGCTAGTCAAGGAGTGCCTGTCCTCACCAGAAATAACATCAAGTTACAACATCATCATTACTCGTTTATGTGCCTAGTCTTAGCAGTATGGCTGATAACTGCAAAGTTGAGGGGAAGCCATAGAGGGCTCCCTTGCTCCGCTCAAATTGGAATGGGACCGTGTTGGATCCCATTTGGCGTCTTGCGTTCTAGCATTGGATTTCGTTAGCGCTGGTCGGCGATTAGTTCATGTGCGACTGCGATTTTTTTCTTGCCAAAATCGTAGGATTTTTACTAGGCACTCTCAGTATAAGTGCACCTGCAACTACTTGATGAAATATATTGTAAGCGTTCCTTCAGCCAACAAAGTAAACGAGAAACGTCAGAAATAGTCATTGCGTTTGGCAAAATTTCGAATTTAACTGTAAAATAAAACATTTTTACTTGCATGACAAAGCACGATTTCGGATTTCCAACAAACGACATGCAACACGCACCCTATAATATAACTAAGGACATAAAGCTAAGCTAAACTTAGTGCTGCCGCTCCGTATTTTGCTAGCTTGACCCGTTTTGATGATCTATAAACCTTTTTACGAGCCACAAAACTGGAATGGCAACAGTAAAAAGAATAGCAAATTTGGCAATTCGCCGCACAAGGTGCTCGGGCGCAGGTGAAAACAAATCTGCTTAAGAGCAGCGACAACAAAAGTACGCCATTTGCACTAGCCACTCTCTCCAGTCGCCGCTTGTTTGCTTAGCTCACAGCCTAATACATGGTAAAAACTAAATCCTAAGACTACACGTGAACTGCCGTTGCTTAAGAAAACACACACCACATATGTTGCAAATGCAAGCTTGCTGCTAAGTTGTCAAGTTATTATTACAAATGTTGCACACTTTGCGACCCCGGCTTGCTGCCAGCCGCTTGCTTGCAACAGTGTTGCCACTTCTTGCTGCATTGTTGCTGTAGCAAAAGTTCACATTGTCGACGCTTAAAGTGTGCGCAACTGTTTCGAATGTAGTGCGTTAGTATCCTTATATAGAGCCTTATAGAGGTCAGCCACTGAAGTGGAGTAGCTTTCTGGGTGGCGTTGCGCCGAAAATGGCAGTAAATGTACGGCAAATGCAATTGCCGTGCTGTCGGTTTTGAGCCAAAAACATTTGCTTGTGACGAAAATAAAAACAAAAAAATATGTATGCAAGTATGTAAAAATACAGTGACTGTTAAATATTGCATACAAAGAGGCGACAGGATGTAGAAATACATAGACATATTCATATATACTATACGTATATGACTTCATTCAGCTAAGTATGATTCTAAGTAGAGTGCTTGTATGTTTGGTACGAAATGTTTCTTTAGAGTGCCCATAAAAAAATTACAAATAGGTGACGGTGAAAAAGGGGTTGGACAGCACTTAAACCCTTTTATGAGAAAAGTAATAAAAGGATAAGAAATAAAATAAAGAAATCCAGAAAGGGTTAATTTGGAGTGGAGTAGCTGCTTAAAAATCAGCTGTAAGCCAAAAATCCCTTTGTAATTATAAAAACTTGAAACAACTAGACTAATAATAGAACGTCAAAATTTCAAAGGAAAAAAAAATACTTTGGTGTACCATCCTTATTAATCGATGACAAACAAATATTTGAATTAAACCTTTCAGCTATAAGGCTCAAATAAGAAATCTGCCTTGAAAAGCAAAATTTCGAAAAAATGTCTCCTCTTCCTTACTGGCGTGGACTTCTCTTCGCTTTTTGACGCCAATTGGAGATACCTGGTCATTCTCCACCTGATC